AGGGGCAGAGAGAGAGGGAGACACAGAATCCAAAGCAGTTCCAGGCTCTGAGCTGTCAGCACAGAGCCCGACGGGGGGCTCAAACCCATGAACCGTAAGATCATGACCTGAGCCAAAGTCAGGCACTTAACTGACTGAGCCATCCAGGTGCCCCTCTATTTTTTTTTTAAAGCTTATTTATTTATTTTGAGAAAGAGAGAGAGACAGATTGCGAGTGGGGGAGAGGCAGAGAGAAAGAGAGAGAGGGAGACACAGAATCGGAAGCAGGCTCCAGGCTCCGAGCTGTCAGCACAGAGCCCGACGCGGGGCTCAAACCCACAGACCAGGAGATCATGGCCTGAGCCGAAGTCGGATGCTCCACCGACTGAGCCACCCAGGCGCTCACCCCTCCATTTGAGGGATTTTGTAAAAGGCAGCCAGCTCACAGGCAGCCCGGGGAATGTAGTTCCCAGGGGTGGACATGGGGACACAGGGACAGTCACCGATGGCCTGTGTTGTCGACTGAAGTGTCCCCCCCCCCCCCACAATTCATATGAGGCCCTAACCCCAATGTGACTATCTTGGGGGGTAATTAAGATCAAATTAGGTCATGAGCGGGGGTCCTAATCCAGGAAGACTAGCGGTCTCGGTAAGAGGGGACAGACGGTTCTCTGTCCTGACTCTTCTGTCCGCAAGCCGGGGAGAACCCTCGCCAGACCCCACGACGCCGGCACCCGGACTGTCTCAGGCTCCCAGCCTCTAGAAGGGCCCAGAGGTAGGTCTTTCTGTCGTGTGAAGCTCCCCTCGTTCTGTGGTCTTTTGTGACGGCGGCCCAGGCTCGCCAAGACATTCTGCAGTTCTGGAAACACATCTCCACAAACTGGCCGTGCTGAACCAGAGACGTCCCTTCCATAATCCCCAGGACTTGTGGGTGTAGCTGTCGCTTGACATGGCGGGAGGGCTCTGCAGATGGGGCTAAGTGAACGACGTTGAGGTCGTCCGGGTGGGGCCTAACGGTGATCACCGGGGTCTTCGTGAGAGGAACAGGGGGGCTGGAGGGCCAGTGCCAGAGCAGAGGTCAGCGCTGGCTCTGAGGACAGAGGAAGGGGCCCCAGCAGCCCCTCGAAGCTGGGAAAGGCAAGGAGAGTGGAGCCTCCAGAAGCAAGGCAGACCCACCGACACCTTGGTTCCTGGCCAGTGAGAGCCATTTCAGACTTCTGACCTCCGGAACTGTAAGGCCGTAAGTCTGTGCTGTTTCAAGCTGCTAAGTGAGGGTGATGGGTTACAGCACCGTAGGAAGCGCCTGCCCCGGGAAGTCGGTGATGGGCAGGTGCACACACCTCACTGAGTGTGGTCCTTTCCGGCCAGGCCGTTCATCTCCGTGTTTGATGCTCATTTGCTCAGTGAACAGACAGCTCCGTGTTTGGTCCTCCCGGTGCACCTGGCGGCGGGGGTGGCCGAGTGGCTAAGAGGGCAGACTTGAAAGGCACGTAGTCCCGGGTGTCCCCAGCGGCCGGCCGTGTGGCCTCGAACAAGCTACTTGCCCTCTCTGGGGCTTAGCCTTTCCTGCCCCCCACGCGGCTGTGAGGGCAGGCGTTCTCTCCTCGGCGGGTGTTCCTTGATCGCCTGTCCCGCGCCAGGCTCCCGGGTGCTGGGGAGACTGTGACAATTCCAGGAGCCAAGCTCCTGACCTTTGTGGAGCCCACGTTCCGGCGGGTTCAGGGGTAGAATGTCGTGCCGGACCAGGTACGTAGCAGGTGTGGGGGCGATGTTGCCCACAACTTCCTCCCGGAAGGGATCACGGAGGGTTCGGTGTCTCACCCAAGTTGACGTGAGTGGGTGCAGGCAGGACCTGGAATCCGGGTTTCATGCCCCAGGCCGGGGAGTGGGCCGGGGTGCAGTGCTGCAGGAAGGACTTTGTCCCCACGTCTAGCGCAGTTCAGCTTCTAGGCTCTGTTTCTTTCGAAGGCACTAAAGTGCGGACAATCCCCGAAGGGTGTTGGGCTCTGAGAGCCCTGCTGGGGGCTGTGTGGCCGGCAAGACCTTGGAGGCCCGTGGGCCTCGTTCCCCGACTCAGCCTGGGGTTCCCAGGAAATGGCCTGCCTATGCTTCCCTCCCTCCCCACGGGCTGCATTGCCAGGCCCCGGGACTTTTGGGAAATCACTGGAAATATTCCAGGAACAAGAGGAAGCCTTGCGTCTCCCAGGCCCCCGATGGGCCTGGCTCCCAGCAGCAGAGAGGCAAGAAGACAAAAGCCTGGGGTCATCCTCAGGACCAGAGGCTTTGTGGGGAAACAGGGCGATCCACTGGGGGCCAAGGGCCAAAGCTGGGCCTTACGTGTGTTTGCTTTGGCCAACTCCGTTCGTGAAGTCAGAAAAGAAAGGACATTGACCCTCAGTGTCCAGCTTCCTTTGAAGACGGAATGGGGATGGGATGGGACCTTTCTCCCTGGAGCTGCCCTCCAGGCCCCCAGGCCCCAAGGTCCCCGGGGACTCTTCCCTCCTTTACGAGACCTCATTGGCGGTCGGCTTCGGTTCTCATCCCAGTTGTTTTGCCTCCGGGGACGTCTGCCAGCGTCTGGAGATTTTCAGTCTTTACAGATGGAGGGGCTGGGGCCGCTACTGGCAACAAGGGGGCTGAGGCGGGGACCCCGCAAGGTCCAGGGTGGCCCCACAGCAGAGAGAGAGCCCGCTCCAGTGCCCATGGTGCCACAGGCAAACCCTGAGGGAAGGAGACCGGTCTTACTTTGCATTCCCCCAAAAGCAGAGCCTGAGGCAAGGCTCGGGTCCCGATTGCTTTGTAAAGGTCATCTCAGAAGCAGAGAGGAGTGAACGACTGAGGCGAAAGAAAAGAGAGCAAAGACAAGGGTACTTGCCCAGCTGGGTCTGCTGTCTGCACGGCTCCGGCCAACTGGGACCCTCGGGGCCGGAGAAACGTGCTCAGAGCCCGCCACGCGGGAGCAAAGCGCACGGGCTTTGACCACCAGCTCCTCTCCGTTGGTCGCATCGGGGCTTCACCGGCTCCCTGTGAACCGGGAGCCTAGCAGCGGGTGGCCTTGATCACGGAGGACCCCACTCCCTGGCCACCTGCCCTGCCAGCGTGAAAACCCCCTGTGGCCCACGGCTCTCCAGCCCGGGACATCATGGCCACGTCAGGGAAGAGATGATGAACACAGCCCTCCCCCCCCCCCGCCCCCAACCTCACCTCTGCTTTTCCATGAACCCGGCGACTACCCCGTGCCCTCCTCCCTCCTGCCAAATCCTAACTCAGAAACCCACTGTACTTGAATCTTCCAACCAAGCAAAAGCCATGTGAAAGGGAAGAAGGCATCGCGGCCCTGGCCTCCCATACTGGGGGACCCTCGGGTGCGTGGCCCCGGGAACTCGCCGAGCTTCTTTAACTGCAAAATTCGGCCTTTGCTGACCTTGAGTCCAAGCAGGTAAAGAGCACGCCATTCCACAAACTGATCTCTCAAGCGCAGACAAGGGAGAATAATGTTCCAAAGGCTGGACGATCTCACGACTCTCTGTTGAGAGGAATCCAGAGGTTCTCACGGTCTGCCTGTGCTCCCCCTCCGCCTCCTGGCCTGGCAGTGATAGGGCGGAGCCACGCTTCCTGGGTCAGAGGGACCCTGGTCCCCAGGGACGCCGGGGGCAGGCCATCTCGCTGGTGGACCAGGAAGGCGTTTCAGCACATCACCCACAAGGCAGGGCCCCCAGCATCCTGGAGCCTCGAGGAGCCGAGAACCAGTCCAGGGAGGCCGAAGGAAGAGGCCTCTCAGCCCACAAAGGCCAGCCCGCTCTTTACTAGGAAATACCATCCAAGCCCTGTCCCCACGGCCCCCTCCTTCCACCGCTCCCCCAAGGTCATTTGTGACAGAATTAAAAAGGAGCCCAGTGCTGAGGCGATCCGACTCATAAATGTGTGGAGACAACGAGACAGCCATTTGGAAAGAAGATAAAATTAATCCATTTCTCATCCCGAAGACCAGAGTAACTCCACGTGGGTCAGAGATCCACAGGAAACAGTGAAACCGTACAAGCCTTAGAAGGAGGCGTGGGTGGAGGGGAAGACTTCGACTATGAGGAAAAACCCGGACTGGCAGTTTCGTACAAATTTAACAAGATTTTTATTAACTTAAGAAAAACCTGTTGCATGGCAGAAGGCACCATATGCAAAATCCAAGGACAAAGGGAAAACTGCCAGGAAATCTCTGCAGCATCTATCAGAGATAACAGATTAATATTGTTTAAAATACATAGAACAGGGGCGCCTGGGTGGCTCAGTCGGTTAAGCGTCCGATGTCAGCTCAGGTCACGATCTCGCGGTATGTGAGTTCGAGCCCCGCGTCGGGCTCTGTGCTGACAGCTGGGAACCTGGAGCCTGCTTCAGATTCTGTGTCTCCCTCTCTCTCTGACCCTCTCCCATTCATGGCCTGTCTCTCTCTGTCTCAAAAATAAATAAACATTAAAAAAAATTAAAATAAAATAAAATAAAATACATAGAACAAAAAACAAAAACAAAAACAAAGAAACAAACACACAAAAACAAGCAAAACAGACCAAAAATAGTCTAGGAAAATGACCACAAGACACGAACAGCTAATTCACAAAGATATAAAATGGCATTTTAGTAAATGAAAGGAGACAAGGGAAAGGCCAACGTCGGCTTCGCTGAGGCACCGTGGCTCACCCACCAGAATGGCCAAGGTCAAAACCTCGACCCCAGGCTCCATTGGCAAGACTGGGAAGGGCCCTCATTCGCCTTGCTGGTGGGAGGTGCGGGGTGATAGAACCAGCGTTTATCGAGGGAAATTTAGGCAAAATATCACACAAAACGATATATGCACCTACCTCCAAACCAGGCATCTCGCTTCCAGAATTTACCCCAAAGATGCACTTCCCACGATGTGGAAACGCACACACACAAGGTCGCCCATTGCACCATTGGTTGTATTTGCAGACTATTCCACGCGCAGGGGCGGCGTGAATAGGCCAAGGCATCTCTACCCCGCGGAGGACCGCACAGCTGCAGAAAAGAGCGAGCGAGCCCTCGACGCAGGACTCCAGAGTGATTTCCAGGAGATGTTGCCAACTCTAAAGCATCACAGTGCATGCCCTGCCTTCTGGGTAAGAAAAGGGGGAAACAGGAAAACATACGAAGAAAGGAAAACACAGAAGAGATAACCAGAAAACAATGAACTTGATTCCCATGAGCACGGGGGGGGGGGGGGGGGGGGGGGAAGGGATCCAGGAGGGAGGGCTCTTCACCGGCTTACGCCTTTCAGTTCCGTTTTGACATGTGGGAACATGCTGATGTCTTACGTGTCCAAAAATGTAAGACCAAATCAATACAATCCATCTAAGACTGGAAGGGAACAGACAAATGAACCCGAGTGTATTTCAAATGAA